GGCAAAGATTCTTATTTCTGTGAACAGACATGCAATATTATCCTATCAAAAGTACATATTCGGAATCAGCACAACCTATTGCATCTCCTGATAATAGAAGGTACTCCTTTTGCATCTTGAACGAAATGAAAAAAGGTCTAGTAGTCTAGATTACTACGGTCCGACATGAGACAACCTCAGTGCAGTGACAGCGCTAAAAAGCGCTATGCCTAAACAGACCTTCTAATTACACGAAAATGTTCCTCAGCCTATCGTGTATTTATGATGATCTCGTCTTTTTTTCTAAGTCGAGTTATTGATTTTACAAAAACCCATAAGGTTTTCGAGGTAATTCGCGTTTTTCTCCCCTATAAGAGCACTTTTTCCATAACATAAAGTCATATTCGGAATCACCTTGAAAAACTACGTCGAATGATGTATAGTGTGTTAGTTTTACAAATAAAACATTTTTTGACAAAAGTTCAGGGCAAGGGTCCCCTAAGGAACTTTTTGTCGAAAAAAAATTTTTTTCGAATTCGACCTTTTTTATTTCTGCTAATATCTGACACATAGTAAGACCATATTATGTTAAAACAATCATTTTCTAACTCAAAAAATCAGATGTCCGCCTGCTCTATAGGAAAATGCCCACTGTGGATCGTCTGCACTCCGTCTGTCCCTTGACTTTAGGAACTCATATCTGCGAACGACCTTCCATGACTTATTAATTCTGAGAAAACGCTCACACCTCCCTTCGATCGTTGTTCGCTAGTGAAGTATCTAAAATTTGTTATGAATTTTTCTCTGATTTGATGTGTAAGGTTCGCATAATCTGATATAAATCTAAAACGTTTTATCGAGACCCTCTAAAGATCCCCAGACGCCTAAAAATACTTCTGAATTCAGAACACTGCTTACGCCTTCCTTCGATCGACGTTCGCAACCAGGATAACTGAGAAATGTTGCCTCAGCATGAATAGTTTCTTTACTATTGGTTATCATCGGCAATTAATGACCAGTATGTTAGCTTATCTATTGAATGAACAATTATTATCAAAAGATGGATATAACAAAGTATGATGAATAATGCCCAATCAATCGTTCGTTTATTCTTGTTTCGTTGTTGTCTGTTATTCTTTCTTTTCGATGCAAATTGTTACCGATTAATTAGAGTTCCACTCAAGGAATGACCTTGAGTTTTAGTGTCGACGGAATAGAACTAATTTAATAATGGATATTTCCGACGGTTATGGATTGATCAAAGCGTTCAAATGTGCCGCTGGATGTAAAATGAAGAATTTTGTCTAATGGTCCAGTTCAAATCGATGAAATTTAATATTATCATCAAAAGTGAATTTTAGAAGAGGCTTTTGAGAAACGTATACAGCACTGCAGAATCTCATATGAAAAGGACATCCCGAACAGGATGAGTTGAGAAGAAATAAAGAGAAAAAAGCTTTTTTTTGAGGCTTTATTTCTTTTTTTCCAAGGATTTTGACATAGGAACAGGTCAAAAGCCTTTTTGTTTTAAAAAACGACAACAAAGTTGTTATACACTCACCTGAGTTTGTTTGACTAAATTCTCTTTTTAAGATGTCGGTCTTTTTCATTACCGAAAACTCTCTACCTTCTTATAATCGGTTAGTCTGGATTATTACGTAACTATAATTGAAATACTAGGATAGGATATAAATAAACTTGCACATTTTTTAGACAGAAATAGGCTGCTTTCGTTAAATTACTCATTTTCTACTTCTTTATTTTTATCATTACAATAAATAAGTTTGACTCATTTTTTTAATTGTTAAGAAAACTGCGCTTTAGCAAACAACTTTTGTCTGTTTTTGTGCAAGAATGTTGCAACTGGTAAGACAACTTCACTATTGTAATGATAAACAAGTTTGTAGAATAAAGTAGACTGTCATAAACCATAGGTGCCAGTCACCAATGGTATTGTCAAATGTCTGACGAGTTGGCCAGGAGTCTGTTTCTCAAAAAAACTTATTCCACTTAAGTGGATTTTTAAGAGAAAAATTACGTAGTAGTTAAGGACACTTAAGTTTTCCCTTAAGTGCATTTTTGAAAAAAAAGTTTTTTTCAAAAATGCACTTAAGGGAAAACTTAAGTTAAACAGAGGTCATGCAGTAAAAACCACTCATATTTTAACAAATTTAGATTATTTTGATGAAATTTTTTGAACAAAATCCTCCTAAAGTTATTTTCTATTTAATTATCGTGGGTGTAATTACGAAAAAACATAAAATAAAGAAGTTAGAAATTATAAATAATTTTTCACTTAAAAAATTAAGTGAAAACTTAAGGGTAGTCGAGAGGTTCCTTAAGTTAAGATGCTTTCGAGAAACTCACTCGGCCAAAAAATTTTACTTAAGTAAAACTTACGTTTTTTTTGAAAAACAGGCTCCAGTATAGCGTAATCTAAAGTCACAATGTAGGACCGAATACTAAAAGTGCTATTAGTCTTTTTTATTTTCATTCTCATTAGGATAATAAAAATCGAAAGAAATACCACTAATGACTAACTAAGCACTTAAGTTCCGACTTGATGTCAGTTAAGAAGTGAGTCAATTCTTGCTGTTTCATCAAAATCTAAATTATTCACTTGAGTCTGATATGAAGATTGGTTTAATTTTACAGAACGTGATTTTTTACTAAATTTTGCAAGTGACAGTATACTTCATCGTTTAAAAACAGTGCTCCCAAATTTTTTCAGCTTACATTAAGCAAGTTGTAATTAAACTATTTTTTTCTTTTTACAACAATTGGTTCTATATTTTTGTACATATAATATGATGAAACCAATATAATATATAGCATGAAACTTAGTCGCTTACTTCTTCGTGAAAGACGTTGATAGTAGCGGCCGAATTTGTTGCTATATTATTTTAATTGCAATTAAAATAATATAGGTAAACCATGATTTACCTGATCTTTTGATTACCAAAGTCTTATTTGCTGTTGTTTAAGCCACCCGAAAGTTTGAAAGATGACTCTTTCCTGCATTGTCGTTAATTTTTAACAGACACAAGATGATTCGACAATAAGGACGAATAAAAAGAGACGGAACTAGAAAAATGAAAATAATAATAAACATAAACAAAAAAAAAGTGAAATGAGGAAGCAACACGTTCAATGTTGAAATTATGAATATGAAATCAGTGACGGTTTCGGTCTATAAATCTGTGTGGGCAATACTCCGGCGCTTACATGGTTTATTGCTCATGCACGAAACATTATTTAACAATTCAGTAAAATCTTCTCCACTTCTCTCTATTTTCTTCCCTTCGCGTTTTAAGTTTTATACTTCATCAAAGTATACACGCCTCGTTACTTCGTTAGGATATCCTTTATAAGTCTTTTCTTTTTTAGATTGTTCATACTTAACGGCTAAATATTCCGTCATTTTTGACCCATTCTTTATATTACACTAGAAAAAAACTTATCTGTGATGCTTGACGATAAACTGGTGCCTACAAATCCGAGCACAATTGTTCGTCCTATCACACTACCAAATCCGTATCATCCTGTAAATACAGCAGCTCAAGCAGTGAAATCTTCTACACAAACACACACTGATCTCCTCATTTTGTTACGCAAATATGATTCGGATGCCGTACGTCCATTTGATTTTATAACTCATGTGAAATTATTCACATTTAACTCTGTTGAATTACGCTGGGAACATACAGCACAGATCGAAGGTACATTTTTTGCCTATGAACGCTATCAACGTGAACAACCTTCATTAACAAATGTCATACCAGCACCACGAATTGTTTTTGCATTTGGTATTATTAATAATGATAATAGCTTTATTCAGATTATTACACAGGACATGACACAACATATTAATAAAACATTTTTATTCTATGAAGTCGCACGAAGTGATAAACGTGAGGTTTATTGTTTGCATTTTGTTAATGAAAATGATTGTCAACGAGCACATACGTTTTTAATAAACTGTAATAATATAACACGTCATCAACAAGCACAACAACAACAACAACAACAGCATCCAGTTTTATCACAACCGTTCAATCAGCAGTTCCCGGTACTACCACAACAACGTCCACCATTCTATCCGATGATGGCTGATCCTAACTTTGGTTCTCCCTATCCACTTGTGACGCGATGGCCACCACAATTTAATGGACACATTCTACCCCATCCAACATTTCAAAATACAGGATCGGTGCAATCACCTGCACATAATTTGAGTGATAGTACAAACTGGCCAATACTACCGCCTGCATCACTTGCTATTCAACCAAAACAAGAGGTGAGACAATGTTAAGTTAGTGAGTAGCATGTAATACTTTAAGCGATAAAAAGTAAGATAACATCTCGCATCTGTAGCTTCAAGTCACTTTTATTATTTGCTTGTGTGTACGCCTCTATAGAAATGAATTGGTCAATGAAATGTAGTTTTAGTCAAGAAGAATTAGATAAGTTCTTCCTTGATGGATAAAAAACTTTATCATTTTCATTTTTACTTTTCTAGCAGCATCAACATCAGATTAATAATTCTACTCTGACTGCTTCTGTTCCATTTCCACACACTCAACCTAATCGAGCATATCCTCCTACTAATCGCCATTTTAATCATCCACATCCTGAACAATCACCACCCACGTTAACTGCTCCATCAAATAATAAACAACATTTCGTAGAACAGGAAAAAAGCATCGAACAATTGCCATCATCATCAACGAAACCACCCAATTCTATAGATAGCATACAATCCAAGAACATTCAATCATCTTCTTCTTCATTACCATCTTCACCAGTTCTAAATTCTACACATAATTCAAATGGAAATAGTGATTCAGTTGAAGATGCATCGTTACAGTTGAAACGATTATTGAATATTCGTGGTCAAGTTGAGTTCAATGAAAATAATCCGATTAATGAAACAGAGTGTATTGCATCATCAACGGTGAAAACAACAAATCATGATTTTTTAACGGAATCAGCACAAAACCATATTGGTCTTTTATCAAAAACCGGTTATTTTCATGACGAAAAAGTTAGACAACAACAAAATCAATCATCAACTGTTTCATTATTACCACCTTCTGCGTTTGAATCAGTCCCTACTAAATCAGTTACACCAGCTTTGACACTTGCAGGACCCGGCGCCATCGGAGCTGAACGTTCAACTAGAAATGGTAATCTTGTGCCGTTTTTATACCATCAACAACGTGCTCAATCTGTTATACCGCACTCCTCTACAACATCAACAAATGAATCATTTTTTCTTCCACAACAGCGTCCAATTGCCCATACAATAAAATGTTCTCAATGTGGTAATCATTCATCAACTTATTGTGAACCACCTATTCAATCCGGTCCATTAAAAAAGGAAGATTTTCGTCATATATTTATTAATTTGATACAAAACGATGAGCATTTTTTCAACATTATTTATCAAGCATGCACAGTTTATCCTTCAACATCGCCATCACAATAGACTGAATAAGACTATTTTTCGCAATTTAGTGTGTTTATGTGCCCGTCAACAATCTAACTATAGGTTTATAGTCTGTTTTTTGATTTCATGTGTGTGCGTATGTTATAAAACACGTTGATTTTAACGTTGTATTTTGTGTTTTCCGAATTGTACCATATCAACGGTTTTGCTTGTAACAAAATATACATTCTTTCTACTCTTTCGTTAATGTTGTTCTCGAAGACTTTTTCCGTTTTTAATATCAAAAAAAAGGACTAGCAGTACGTGTAATTTAGACTCCGTTGTATTGTAGATTTTGGTGTAGAATGTGCATTGTATATCGAATTCTCTTTTTTCTTTTCACATTTCAGAAAAATTCTGAGTTTTCACCGTATGATATGTATCAGTGTAATATAGATGTTCTATATTTATCCTTTTTTGTTGTTTTCTTCTTTGTCAGTATACGCTGATGTTCTTTTTTTTTTGTTTTTGCTTGTTTAAAAAATTGTATGTTTACATTGTTTTTCGATGTGAAAATACGAAATCCGAAGTGAGAGAAACGTATATTGATGAAAGATTAAATATATGATTGTATACAACGTTTATCTATCTTATCGATTGAAAATTGGTGCAAGAAGAAACACTGGGCAGACCTGTGTACAATACTAAAACTCAACGTTCAGTTGAGTAAAATTTGACTAAGATAAGGATAGTCTGCTAGTGTTGGATGATATCGATATTGGCTGATTTCAAAAATAGTTCATATAGAGATACTGGAGCTGATGGAACACCGTGTTTAAGAAGCAAAAGGTGGTGACAGCTGAGAAACTGTTAATATATTAAGAATGTATAATAATTATAATTACAATAGAGTTCTGGAAATAGTTTCTTTGCTTGTTTGTTTCAGATGTCTTCTCCAACTGCTAGCACTATTTTATCATCTCCAATGATGTCAACTATGAATGATATTCCAACAGATTTTCAAGCATTTCAAACACGTACTATTATTAAAGATTTTAGATTATCTGCTGAATTGTTTGCATCCAATGGTGACGTTGTTCTAATATGCGGTAAAGAAAAACAAGAAAAACAAGGAATATTATTAGTGGCGTATGAGGTTCAATCACGTAGTAGTGGAAGTGTGAGCAATGATTACACACCACCGTTATCATCGTCTGTTAGACTACTAAAAGTCGTTCGTATAAATAAAAAAACTGTGACACAGCTAGAAACGGTGCCAATAATTAAATTAGCTTTATTATTGGGTGATGGTGTTTTATCTCTACTGCATATTGATTCATTTATTGAAATGGCAGCCGTACCGCTTACAAATTTAACATTATTTTCAAGTTGGTATGATTCAACAATACAACTCGAAATATTTTCATCAGTTAGTAACAGTAACAAATTGACAAAACCTAGTATATCAATAGATTCGCCCGAAGGTTTTACAATTATCGATCAACCATCGTTACCAAATGTTTCATTCGAACTTCGTCTTGCTGCTACTACTACAAGACGAAAAGCATTATTCTATTCATGGTATCCACAACAAAAACGTCTAGTTGAAAATAAAGAACCGAACAGAGGTGTTTTTGAATTATGGGAACAACCGAAAACGTTGGCGTTGAGTAAAGAAAAAATGTGTGTTGGTTCCAGAAAATCATATATTATATGGAATATAGCAACAGGACAAATGGAAAATGAAATTTTATTAAGTAATCAAACACCATATGAACCCATAATAATACCGTTACAAGAACATCGTGGTTGGTGTATACAGGTCGATTCAAACACAGTATTTCTTGATACAGATTTTAGTCCAATGTATCAGGAGAGTGTAACAATTTGGAAAGAAATTCCATCGTCAATTGTTCAATCATCACCCTACATTCTTGCATTAATGCCAAACTCAATTGATGTATGTGCATTTATTCCACAAGGCATAAAATCATCTTCAACAACAACTAGCAGCAATGTTCAACGTTCATCTCTATCATCACTTGTTCAAAGTATTCCATATAAAAATGTTAAAGGACATTTATGGATGGATTTAAAAAATGAACGTATTTATGCATCAACAGCCACCGATGTTGTTCTTGTTGAACCGGTACCTGTACGTATACAACTTCAAAATTATGCTGGATTGTGTAAATATGATTTAGCTCTGACATTGATCAAAGCTGTTCTAGGTAGTAACAACAATAATTTGCAAGGCGGTGAGCGTACAAAAGACGGCCAATGTTGTGGAAATATTGATCGAACAACTCTATCTAAAGAATTGTCGCTGATCAATAGTGAACAACCAAAAGTAAGTATGATGAGTCGATGAGAAAAGACATTGTGCTAACTGCAGTATACGTATGTTTTCATCATTATTCTAAATTTATTAGAGCAAGAGACTGATCTGATGACGCTATTAAGTTATGAATGTATTGTTCATTTTATTCTAGAATAGTGAAAAAGAAGAATTTAATATGGAAAATTCTCCTCGACAAAGTCGTGCAGATAGTCAAAAGGTATCATTGGACCAATTTTTATGGGAAGAATATTACAAAGTTGGTGTTATGTATGGTTTTCAATTATTTCATCGTCAACAATTTGAACAATCATTTGAACGATTTATTGAATATTTGGCTGATCCATGTGAAATTATTATATTATTTCCAAATATGTCCGCAGAACGTTGGCTATGTCAATATCACTTATTTAATCAATTCGTTCAACAACATAGACATTTTTCACCACCAACTGATTTACTCGGTGTTAAATTAGAGAATGCATTAAAAGAATTACAAAATTATTTAACACATGTACGATCTCTCTATCTAAAAATATTAAGATATTTCAATCAACAAAAACAACAGCAACAACAATATTGGATTGAAGTTCAATCATTAATGAAAAATCAGTTTATATTAAAAAATGTCAAAGATTTATTAGTAGTTGTTGATACAGCATTATTAAAATGTTATTTATTAGATAATAACAATACACTTGTTAATGCATTATTAAGAGTGGATAATAATTGTTTACAATCTGAAGTTGAATATGAATTAAAAAAACATCGAAAATTACCAGAATTAATATCATTTTATGAAAAATATGATCGACATCGAGAAGCACTCGATCTTATTATTAAAATGAATCAAAATAATACATCTATAATAAATCAATATGAATCAATCATAAAATATTTAAAAAAATTAAATAATGATTATTTATTGTTAATATTTGAATATATTGAACCAATAGTGAAAATAGCAGTTAATAACAATGATAAACAATTAAAACAGGAGATATTAAATGTATTTATAGAAGATACTCAAGATATATCAAATAATAGTATTCGATTACCAATAACACCACAAATTCGTTCATCACTTGATTGTTTAAAAATATGCGAATTTTTAGAAGGGATCAGCTACGATTTCTATCTTGTATATCTTGATTATATTAAATTAAGAGATGATATTGGAAGTTATAGACGAGAAATACATAATCGATGGATTTATGCCTATTGTCAATATATTAAACAATTGTATGAAAAATTAAAACTATTGACTAAACAACATAATGAACAAAATATTGACGGTAAATACACGATTCTATTAAAATATAGAATGTTTTTTTCTAGAAATTTTATTGAATAATTTTTATTTTTTTTTATTGTCTTTTAGATAATGATCTATCAACATCTTTCAATAGTATAGTGGGAATGAAAAAAAATGACTCAGCAGATCTATCTAACAATTTACTAACATTAAGACGTCAATTAATCGCTTATGAAGATAAAGTGAAAACATTTCTATTAGATCCTCAATGTCAATGTGATTATGATAAACTGGAAGCCTATTTTTTAAAAGAAAATAATGATAACAATAATTTATTTAGTTTAAATTATGGTATTGTACTTGGTAAACTATCAAAACATGAACAAGCATTAAATATATTTATTCAAAATGGTTATTATACGGATGCGGAAAATTATTGTGAACAAATGTATAATGAAGGAGATATTATTTTAGCACGAAAATTATATCAAAATTTATTAGAATGGTATTTAATGAAAACCGATAAAGAACATAATGAAAAAACAATTATACGTATTATTAATAAAGCATCCGAACGTTTAGATCCAATAGAAACGTTAAAAATTTTACCCGATTGTTTCGAATTAAAAAATGTTCGACATTTTTTAGAAGAATCATTACAAACATGTTTAAAAACAAAACGTACAAATCAATTACAACGTAATTTATTATTTTTACAATTATTACAGATGCAAAAAACACGTATTCAAAATGAATATCATTCATTTACAATAAAAAATGATACAAAATGTGATCAGTGTGATTCACCAATATCAGCAAAACAAGTTATTATTCGATTTCCACAAAATCATACTGTTCATTTACATTGTCGAACTAAATATGAGAAAAAAGTGAAAGAAAATCAATATATAATAAAACGAAATTAAATTAAATATAAATGCTTTTTTTAATGAATAAAACTTATGTAATTTTGTTAGACGATAATATACTTTATTTTGACTTATTATTATACCAGTCCATTTTCATTTAATTGAAATCAAGCTCAATTGTTTTTAACATATTTTAAAACTATTCTATCGATTTAATTGTTCATATTATTACTTGTTTTTCACTGATACAAAACAAAATAAATGAAACCGTGAATGATCCATACATTTATCACTATTTTCTTTCAAAATTTTTTTAATTCTTTTGGATATTGTGTATATTTGTGTAACTATATGTTTATTTTAAATATCTATTTTTCTTTCTGTGATACATAAACAGTGTTTCAGTTTATAGTTAATATTTTTTTCTTTTTTTTTCTCATGTTTTTATGACGAGTAGATGATTTCTTCTTTTTTTTTTGCCTCTGATAGACTATCTATTAAAATAGACTCAATTTGTTCAACGTTACTGTGTGTTTTAGATGATGAATATTAAAACATCTTATAAAGAAGCTGTTCAACTTTGTTATGTTAAATGTTTGAATGATCCTGAAAATGATCCATATAAATCAAAATATGAAGCAAAGAAAATTTTTAATTATATTAAAGATCAACTATTACTTAGTGATAAACAAACAGTGTTCGATGGTGATAATCCTCTAACCAATGAATTTGACGATCTAGATGTTATCTATGATGAAACAACAAATATGCCTAAAATATTTATGATGAAAGACAAGATGACAAGATCTGAAACCAATATTTCAGCATCAAGTAGGTTTATATACAATTTGTTGTTGTTTTTTCATATTTTAAATAGAAATTATCCTTTTTTTAGTTAAATTATTCGTGTTTTTCTTCTTACAGTTATATTTTATTCATTATTATGTTTATTCTAGCATTAGTTAAACACAATTATTTAATTCGTCTATTACTTCACTATCATATTGCAACGATTTACAATGATACGGAGGAAAAAATGGAAGGAGAAAAATATTTAAAAGATTTATTAGTAAATATTGAAAATGTTCAATTTCATCCATATTTTTGTTCATTAAATTTACATGTTTTAAATCAATTAATATTAATTCAAGCATCATACGATAAATATGATCAAGCAATTTTATATGCTAGTCAAGCAGAACATCTTTATAAACATTGGATGACTGTTAATCAAACAAAATTTCCTTTAAGATTAAAAGCATTAATAGAAATATCAATAAATGATTCTATTTCTGAGAAAAAACGTTGTCATGAATTTGAATTGACTTATACACATACACTATACTATTTAGCTCAAGTTTATGCAAAATTAAATGAAAAAGAACAGTCAGCAAAGTATTGTCAATTAACACTTGAAAGACAATTACTCCATCGTGATGATGATAATTTTAATGCTGTTGATTGGGCAACAAATTCGGCAACATTATCACAATATTATATGGGTGCAGGCGATTATCCTACAGCTCGTCATTGTCTTGTATGTGCTGATCTCATACTAGAAGAAATAAAAACTGATGAAAAAGTGTTAGAAAGATCGGCCAGCTTTAAACGTTGTTGGGGAAAATATGCCATTAATCTTTTAGGTAACGCGTTAATTTGACTGAATGCGTTGATTGAAAATATGTGTAAATGAAAGATCGAAGGATCAAACCTCTCACAATCAATAGCACTATGATGATATAAATAACTTTCCCTCAACAGACAGACACATGGTGATTAAAGTTTATCTGAGTGCTATAACTAGATAAAATAATAAATAATAATAGAGATAGATAAATAATAATAGTATGAACAAATATGATTTATTTATACTATCTTTTCAATCGACTAAAATTAATGATAAATATTTTATCTTACTTTCTATTTCAGCTGATTCTACTCAACGTTTATTACGTGCGGCTGATAACGATTTAAATCCAAATGAAATTATATCTAAAAAATTAGTTGAATCAAAATTTCGTTTTAAAATGAAAAAAGATAATATTGAAAAATATGAACAAGAATATATTACAGCCATCTATGTTCTTGATTATGAACAAGCTCGTCATGTATTTTTATTTGGATTAAATCAATTAAATAAATCGAAAGAATATTATGTTCTTGATGGTTTTGTTTCTGATTATGTTGAAATATGTCAAGATATTAGTCAATTATATAATAAATTAGTATTTTTTGAGTCAGATATTGAACGACAATGTAAAATGCATAAACGTCGTATTGATCTTCTATCTCCATTGTGTAATGAATTAAATGAACAATATTATTTACATTGTGTAAGACAATTATTATTTGAATTAGGTGAATGTTATTCAACAATACTTGATTTAAAATTAACATTGTATGATCAAACACCATCAATACATTTAACAAAAAAAATTAATCAATTAGCTCATAATGGTATTCAAATATTTGAACGTTTTCTATTAACAATGTACGATAAAAAGACAAAACAATTACCGGAAAAATATTCAGATGATTATCTACGTTCAGCAATTTTAGCACATTTTTATATTGGACGATTTTATTCAAAAATACAAAGTATGAATAATTTACAAAATCGTTTAAATAATTTAGAAATAAATTTAACAAAATATAAATATATTGTTGACTATTGTGAACGTTATCCAGATGCAAAACAAATTGTAGAGAATGAGTATAATGTATGCAAAGAAATGTGTGTATTGTTACCATGTAAAATGGATAAATTAAGAGAGTCATTATCATAGAAGTACAAATCTCTTGATAAAATAGAATATATATAGAAAATAAAATATTTGATTTGTTTGATATCTCATTAATATTGTTTAACGTAAAGTTAGACAATTGTCAAGTGACATTTTTTTTGTCTTTTACTGTATTTGAATAAACTAACATCCAGTATGACTGTGATAAATACTATTATTTTCTATTCTCTTGTATATTTTATAGTTCAAACATTTTTGCTTTCACATCGATATAATAGTGTTCAAGTCCATTAATAAAAATTACTTTTTTAATTTTAGATATTCATCATTTGCCAAATCTTCTTTCATCTGTATATAGAACATTATCATCTCAAATGTCTAACAGTTATTCTTTTTTATTAAAATTCATCTATTCTAGTATTAGTCTTATTCAATTTTATATTTGAATAAATAAACATTTCTTCTGTTGTTAATTTAAACAAAACAAAAATGGAATTTGAAGAATTTGTTGAATCATTAGAATCATTACCCATTGATTTGAGTCGAAATTTACGTTTATTACGTGAATTAGATGATAAAAATTTACAATTAAGACAAGAATGTTTGAATGTTAGTGATAAATACAAGCAAGAAATAGATAGTATACAAAAACGTGAAAATATTAAAATGTTAAATGATATACAACTACGTCGATTACAATTAGCTGATGAAAAAGTTGTTCTTGCTGAACAAGCAGCTGAATTATGTGAAAAACATATTCGACGTCTCGATGATATACTCGATTATATTAGTACACAAAAACCAATAATAAAAAAATCTGATATACATAATAAAAAACGTTCATTATCAACATCGGCAGATGATCAAAATTCTATTAATAAAAAACGTAAAACAAAACAAGTATTACATTCAGTTTTAAATAAAAAACAGTTATCAGAAACAAGAACACCTATACGTGTACCAAGAAAATTATTACAATCAACAAATACTTTATCATCAGAAGAAAAAGAACGAATTGCTATTGAAGAATATGGTATGGAAATTGATCCAAGTGAACCACGTTATTGTACATGTAATCAAGTTAGTTTTGGTCGAATGATTAAATGTGATAATGAATCTTGTCCATTAGAATGGTTTCATTTTCAATGTGTTAATGTTGAAGTAGCACCAAAAGCACATGAATTATGGTTTTGTCCACAATGTAGAGAAAAAAATAAACATAAATAAAATTTATATATCTTAAACATTCTTAAACCTGTGCTTTTCCATTAAATATATATATATACGTGTTAATCAAGTGACTGAGTTCTACTATTTTTGGTTTTTTTTAAACATATGTTGTAATCATTTTTCTATTGTTATTTGTAACTACAATAGATAAGATGATTATGACAACATTTTTCGATTTAAATTGTGAACGTTGATTATTGTTTTTTTTCCTGTTAAATTTGTTTACGTATTTGCCGTTGCGCTTTATTTTTATTGTGTTGTGTTTCTAACAAAAAACAAAAAAAGGATGTTGTGTATAAAAAGAATAAATATTTTTTCGAATCCTGTTAAGCAAAAATCTTTGTTTTTAATTTCATTTTATTGAAAAATTAACACATGATAATGTTTTAAAGAAGAGATTCGATTTTACTTTAAAACATTAACTAAATATTGATTTTGTTTTATGTAGGATGTTTTTTCAAACTTTAAGACAATTATCTTAACAGTGCACATCTTTCTTTTGAAGAGTAACGCAGATAGATTATTATTTATCAAGAATTTTTATATGTTAGTGTATTAAAGTTTGTGAACACTGTGAAAAACAAAAGAGTCCTAAAATTATGTAGAATAAAATCTTATAGCAAAATGTAAGAAGAATAAGATTTTTTTTTAAAGAGATGTGCAAAACTGAATTTTGTTGATTAAAAACTTTTTGTCAGTTGCTATAATAGGATAAACTTAGAACAACGAACAGATTCTAATTTTTAGAGCAATGTTGAGACAGCTTAAAAATATTGTAGTGCAAATCTTAGTTACACTTAGTATCCTTCTAATAGAATATATTCACTGTACTGCCCTGCTATATACATCGACTTAGACTAACGTAGTTCAAACTTTCACATCAAATATTATCGTTGTATATTTTTATCATATAAGTAATGATGAATCTGAATGATGTTTGATGTGCAATTGTTAGGTTTTAAAGCGCCGGGTTGCTTTATTCTGAACGATCATACGCAAATGTCATGTTTACTTTTATTCGAAATAAACAATGAATGAGATAATCAACGTTTTCGATTGCTCTCATTTGCATAGAGTCAAGAATTTTGACCCACCCAGAAATTTGTTAAGAAATTTAAGGCCCACCCCCACCCAAAAATCCATTTCTGCTTACGAGCATCCGATCTTAATGAAACTTTCAGAGATGGTGTATCTAGACATGATGACCTCATAGTAAAAATTTCAGTTCGAAATATTAAACCTATCAAGAGCTAGCTCACAATTAAGATCCAAAAATGGATCTTCGTCCGTTCCCGATTTCTCTGCTATTTTTAACGTTAGAGAGCTCGGGTTGGTTTTAAAATGTAGCTAAGATGTAGGGCTACAACTTAACAGAGGCCGATTTTTTAATTTCTCTGTAGTTCATTTTTTATAGAACTTTTACGTCACGATATGAAATTACTGGGGTGTAGGATCTCAAACATTTTCTCTTCATCTGACGTCAATTCTGAAATCGAAGAATCGGGCTCTGTTAAGTTGTAGTGTCAGACTTTAGCTATGATTTAAAACAAACCCGAGCTTTCTAGCTTTCAAAATGGCGGAGAAATCTGGGATGCACGAAAACGTAAAAGTAAAAAATCTCATTTTGAGAAAAACGCAAAATAACGAAAAAATGTCGTCTTTTCCGGTAGAGGTTTTCAGAAAAACCTGTGCGAAACCCTTAAAATCTATCGTAAAATTAAGAAACTATAGTGCATTCGATAGCGGACATGATGCTCTATCAAATACGCTATTTTAAAAAAATCGATAAATTTCACCAAAATAACCTTTTTTTTGAGTGGGGGGTGGGCCTTAACAAAGCCGGATTTTTTATTTTTTGCAGCTTGACTTTTGAGAAAAATAAAGTTGTCCAAAAATTTAGTCCGATTTTTTTCAACTTTTTAAGAAAAATTTTCAGAAAAAATTAACAAAAAACTTTTTTCACTCAGGCTCCGTTAAGTTATCCTTTCTTAAGAAGGAAAAATCTGTCTGTGAAGTGAATCTGTAGCCGTATTGGCTATATGTAAGTATAGAGAAGAGTTTACTCTTTAATCTTGTTTATACAGAATGGTTTCACCTTTAAACTTTGACCTGAAATATTCGCAGATTGTACAGTTCTTTTTGCTACAGCATAAAAAACTGATTATTTTCTTCGCTGTGCTAAAATTCTCAATTACTGAGTATCAGTACTGTTAATATGCTTTTGATTTCAGTGCGACCCGTTCACATCTAAAGATTATACAGTCAATCAGACAGCGTTTTTCTACTAAATAATGGTAATTTTATGAGATGTTCGGTTCTTAGATGAGTATACAAACATCATTCCTCTAATTGCTGATAAAGTAAACTCAACACCATTAACTAATTAACATTTTATACATTAACAACACAGCTAGTACAACGATTGGAGCAATAATGTTGTATACTCATCGTTTAATCCAGCAAGTGTTCGACAGAAGCTACTTGAAATTGTTGAAATCGTTGATCAATATCTCCTCAACAGCTCCTATTGCGCAGTGAGAAATTTCTCATTTTATGAGCTGAATGATTAAAATTCCTTGAATTTTGATCAATATGGAACGGCATTCACTATTATCAGACAAATTCAATTCTTGTACACTTTTCCCGTTGCTCTTGCTAGATACAAACAATAGACGAAGAAAAATACTCGTCGAACAATGTCTCCACCACCTTTCTTACTTCCAATCCATTATCCCAATGCCCTCGGAAATGTTGATTGATCAAAAGAACCGATTTTGTAAAAACTATATAGCGCTATATACCATACGAGGCTTTCGAACAAATTTATGCGTGTTCTTTGCGCCAAAACACGTTAGTTTGACGTGTGTTAGAAGTAGTTCTGAATGTTTTTTTGCGAAGTTTACGCTGCTTTTTATTCCCCAGAGGATTTTACAAATTCTCGCTCATGGTTTCTTCGTTTATGAGTAAAGCACTATGTATCTCATAAATGAATTTGATACGCTTGAGATGGTTCAGGAATTCAAATATCCCTGTAAAATGGAACCACGTCTATCTAAAATATGTTTTCTAAATAATTAGCGAAGTTGCAATTGGAAAAACAAGTTTTATTCTGAATCAACAAAACTACGGCAACAGATTCATGAAAACATTGACAGAGTTTCGTGAGGAAATGTTGGCGCAGACAATGTTTTGACAAAGGAAACTTTATGGTAGAATGACAGTGCTCTCCTAAAATATTTGAAGTTCCAATAGCTTTCAAAATTAAAATGAATCATGTAAAAGGCCTATCAGCCTAAAATTATCGATATTCCTCGACTGCACAGAAGCTTTTCCAAAATCCAGTAGTTTCATAGATGAAGTCCAGTATTCTCAATCTAGAATTTTGATCTAAATAAATCACATATTCGAAATCAACTCATCAAACTGCAACCACTCATGTGCGCAACAATAATAATTGATAAATCACTGATGTGCGAAAGAGAAATAAAAGGAAATTTTTATGATTGGCCATAATATCAAGAGCAAATGATGTGTATCCTGATGCTGTTGTTTGTCGTCGTTTAAATGGCTCTTGAACCGAGAACAGTTTTGCTAATTGATAATACCACCGAGACGGTGTTAATATTAAATGCAGTGTATCATGTGTGACAGTTGATATCGTTTCTGTATAACAAGATGGGACTAAATGATTAGCAATCAATGTCCCTTCAAATGTTTCGGGTGTATATAAACCACATTTATATTCTCGATAAACATTTTTTATTGCAACTAATTGAACGTTGACTCCATCTTGCACATACAATAATTGACAAATGGTTAAATAATTGACAACGTTATTTGAGACAAATTGTAAAATGGGACTGTTCAAAATTGATGAAATGCATGGCTTTCACATTCATGTTAGTAGTTTGATCAATTTGAAATCACAACTATAACTTTCTGCACTACTTTTCGGGCCGTGATAGTCAGAGGTAACCCATCTCTAAAGTTCTGTCTGTTTAGACATTTATCAAGCTATTATCAAATAATTTAAACATGTTGAGAGAAAATCAGAGATAAAGGGGATTCTTTAACGTAAAAAATTTCATCTCTCCATGCTCCATTTTTACTCCTTTCATAAAACCGGTAACTGATCGGAGATCAGATCGACAGAATACTATGCAGGTTGAAACTCCTAGAGTTTCCAAAGAACATGTAGCTTCTTTTTTTATCGACCAGCAGTCGATTGGAACTCTCTGCAAGAGCAAGTAGTAATCGCAAGAACAGTCTTCTTTCAATAAAAAAATTTGATCGGTTCGGTCCGGTTCGATTTCAGAAAGTTTCGCTTCGGTTTGAACTTCTGAAAAAAAGTACCGTTCGGTTCGGTTTCAGAAAGTTTCGATTCGATTCGGTTGCAGAAAAACTCGAACCGATCCCACCTCTGGTGCCTTTTAAATTAAGGCTATTTTAGTTATCTAACTTGTACGAAAATTAGGAAAATTTCTAATGTGTTTTTTTGCTTTCGTAGAAAAGTAAAACATCTTCATAATGCGGTAAAATTGATTGTTTGATTTGACAACGGATATATAAATACATATATACGTATGTATAACTGATATTTATAAACAGGAAGAATACAATTCAGCTTTAAATTGCGTTAGCTTTTGTAACTGTTAATCAAAAATGAAATTTGTTCTACTCCGTACATAGACCTGTACATAGAGTCTACGCGTAGACGGATAAGTAACATTTTAACATTTAGTCTATAGGCCCCTCGATTTTTTGCCTATAGTGGCACATAAAAATGATTATAGTTTCTTTGAGAGACAGAGATTAGGCATAGTTTGTACATAGAAAGATGCAGAATTGAAAGGACTACAGAATGAGGTGCAACGTAGTTCGAATGTGTAGAGCTTGACGAGTTCTGCTGGGGTCCATGGAGAAAGGGGTTGGATGCGTTGGGTCGTTAATAGGCAGCCACTTTTACTCGAAAAAGAGAGTTAGCCGATTTCTAACCTTATTCGTTCCGGTCCTTTGTCTGGTCAAAGGTAATCCGGCCATCCGTTATCTAGAAGCTTCAAACTTGCCGGATATACTACCCGTAGGTGCGGTCAAATATTCACAGAATTACGTTTAAGAACTTCAGACTTTATTTGACTATTTTCCTTTCACTAAACGTTGACAAACGCTAACTCGCAGATAGTTGAAATCGAGAAGAAACTTTTTTTGTTCAGCATCCGTACTTTTCCTACACTTTTTCAGATTTTTAAAGGTAAACTCATATTATAAAATATATTCTCAATTCCAAAATGATTGATACCAGTGCCTACAATATTGCAAAATATTGTGAGAAAGGTGAAGTCCGCATAAGTGTTGAAATCGGCCCGCTAACTTTAGCCCCTCCAGTTGGTACGAAACTCATCAGAATCATCAGAAAGAACGTTAACGAAGCCTGGCAGTAGGCTTTATGGCTTTAATATTAGACTTCATGAGTCGCCGCTATGCCTAGGGAACTTTTGTTCATTTTTTTCTATGAAAGTAAAGAGGAGCTCTAATCACTCATATTCCATTCGACGCGCCTTGAAAAGCTTTGCAAGATATATTAATAGGAAACCTAACGAAGCCTGGCAGCAGGTTTTATGGGCTTAATACTAGACTTTTCCATCGATTGCAGATACGCCGATGGAACTATTGATCACTTTTCTCTGTGAAACTAAGGATGATCTCTGATCATTTATACATCATTTGATGCGCCGTGACAGCTCTACAACATTTGTTTATACGAAACTTAACGAAGCCTGGTAGCAGGTTTTATGGGTTTAATACTAGACTTTTTCATGGATCGCCGCTATGCCTAGGGAACTTTTGTTCATTTTTTTCTATGAAACTAAAGAGGATCTCTAATCACTCATACGCCATTCGACGCGTCTTGAACAGCTCTACACGATATTTTAATAGGAAGGTTAACGAGATCTAGCAGCAGATTTTATGAGCTTAATACGGGACTTTTCGATTAGTCGCGGGTACGTCAAGAGAAGTCTTGATCACTTTTTCCTATGAATTAAATAATGCAGAAAAAATTTGATTTCGTGTCTCGTATGAGTTCAAACTGTTGTATACATAAAACGCTATTTCGAAAATGCTTGTTGTCCTTTCATTCAAATATCAAGTGGCAACTTTTTCTATTATGAATTTTGTGATGCCTACATTGTTTCGTGCATGTATCGTCCATTTTCTCACAAAACTAAGACAAAATGTATCGTTTCATTTGAGACAAAGTGTTTCACTGCTGTGTTTGATTGATTTGACATTGTTCTTTTCGTTGTATTTTTAATTCGCTGAAATTCTTCATCAGAAATATCGCTTTCTCGATTTGTGATATTCTTCCGTATCCTTATTTCCATCATCATCATTATTATTTTCATGATCAACATCAATGTGATCCAATAGTTCTATATAATCTAATAAAATAATCATCAAATCTTATATTTTTTGTTAATTTTTCAATATAATCCTTGATATTTAATACATTGTAGGATCATGTTGTAATGCCACTACAGTATTGTTTAAAATCTATTTAATTTTAAATAATATTAATATCAAAGATTATAGTGAAAAATTAACAAAAAATACAAGATTTGATGATGTGTTATTAGATTATGAGGAACTATTAAATCACATTGATGTTGATGTTGTCCCGTTCTACAATCAGAGGATTTCCAATAAGAGAAAAAAACCTTTAGCGCATACAAAACTAAACATATTAACTTACCCAAGCAAAAATCGTCTATGGAGAGGAGCCAGCTCCAACACAGACGTAACCGGACGGTTATCTACGACGCGGAGCTAGGTGAATATACCTTTTTACCTAGTTAGCTAGCTCAATCCAGTAGTAAATCGAGCACTAGGTTATCATATCGAGTAGGAGCGGGAGGTTGGCATCTAGGTTAACTGCCCAGTCTCGCTTAACCTAGCTCCGAAAACGAAAAATATTTAATAAGAAGGAGGTGGTCAGCTAGGTTAACCGGGAGGTTGGAGGGCCCGGTTAACCGGGCGCTCCAACCTCCCGATTAACCTAGCTTAAAAAATAAGAAAAAAAGAATATGTACTTAACGAGAATTGAACTCGCTGACTAATGCGCCATCAGAATTGAGATAGAAGTACCCGACGTTTTAACCAACTAAGCTACCAGGCACATATATAGTAGTCGATAAGTGATGAAATCATTGAGACGATATTTTAGAGATTAGTGTTTTACGTATCAAGGAAATATTTTTGAGAGTTGAGTCTGGAACATAAAACGTAGCAAATTTATTTTGCTAAATTTCATCTGTTGAGACCAGATTTTAAGAAATCATTCTTCATGGTGAAAAACAGTAAATATCGCTTTTCACCGTGAAGATTGATTTGTACGAATTTGAGCGCAGCTGATAAGAGTTACGAAGTTGGATTTGCCACATTTTGGCCATGAAACTCAATTTTGAGAAACTCTCACTTCACTGTGAAAAATCAGGAAATAGCCATTTGGGGTATATTTATGATTTTTCATCATGAAAAACGATTTTTAAGAATCTGGTATCAACAGATAAGATTTAGAAAATTAAATTTCCTATATTTCATGATCGAGACCCAACTCTCTCACTTGAAGCGATACAATCCGGAAATAAGTTGTGAGTTTTTTAACAGTAGACATATCAAAGAGTTTTAGGCTAGGCAGATCTCAACACATCTTTGACAATTTGAAATAGTGTATCATAATCTGAAACGATTTTGAGCTTAAGCTCAAAATCCAGGTTTTATGAAAATCAAAATGCAAGAAAACTGATATTATCATTGGATTTGATATGGTGGATAACCTCTAAGCCCTGACTTTTAAGTTACAATCTCTTTGTTTAAGCACTTTTCTGTTATTCGGAAATCCTCCCATTCCATAGAAATTTCTAGAACTGGGAGAATTTGACATATTCAAATATATACTGTTAATAAGATTCTGTTCAGCATCTGATTGAATTCTGGCAGAATTTTAATTCTAATTCTCCTACTGGAATCTGACCAGAACTACACCAGAATCTACCAATTCGTGGAGAGAATCTAAGTGTGAACTAATGTAACTCTTCGAGTTCTACCAGAATCTGACAGAATTGGACGGCAATCTGCAGATTCACAGGGAGAATGTGATAGTGAGCGTGGGCAGATTTTCCGATTGTTTTTAATCAGGCTGGGGAGATTTCTTTTATTAGAAAGTCGATGGACAGTTATTTCCTAAATAAGTGAAACAATCGTTAATTGACAAGACTTTTTGTTACTTCGTATCAGAATTTATTTTTCCAAGGAAAACAATATTTAATATTCATCCAAGGCATTCATAACGTTATAGTCGGTGAGTTCGATTCTCGTTTCTTACATATTCTTTTTTTCTTATTTTTTAAGGTCGCTTTGAGTATCCGGTTAACCAGACCCACCAAGCACCCGGTTAACCAATCGCTTAACCTACTTGATAACCACCCTCTTATTAAATATATTTCGTCTTGGGAGCTAGCTTAACCGATCGGTTAATTGGACGGTTAGCCTAGTTGTCAGCTTCCCTCTCCTACTCCATTATGGTAACCTTCACTACTTGGTTAGAGCTAGTTACCTAGGTAAAAAGTACATTTACCTAGATCCATCAAGTGAATCACCGCCCAATTATGTAGTCGATGGAGCCAGATTCTCTCCGTAGAGCATTTGTGCTTGGGCACCAGAATAAACTGGAAAGAAGTTTTAAAATAGCTGTAAAAACTAATATCATTTTTTTATCTCAAAATTGTTGCCGTTTTGGCTTTTTCTAATAGGAAAATACTTACTTAATCATATGTAACTTAGAGTTAAAATTTGTCTTACTAGAGTAAGTTCTATAAATTTATCTGTGAAGAACAAGCATAAAAAGAATGAAAGTTAATAGAATATGATGATAATCTTTGAATACAGAAATGTTCTCAACGTTTGTTTATTTTCAATTTTTACTTGACATTTTTACTAACTGACACATATTAACATACAAAACATAAAAACGAAATATAAAATTTATTCACGAATAATTGTAAGAAAAAGAAATAAATTACAATTAGAAATGTATTTAAATTTTAGTTTCTGCGCTAATTCATATGATAGTCTGTACTTCTAGATACGGGATTGCGATAGTAAAATGTGAAAAATGCAATTTCACCAACAATTATAAGTGCACTAAAAGTAATTCCTATACCCAATCCAATTTGTGCAGACTTTGTAGGCGGACCTTCACCTACTTGAGTGGTATCTAAAACCAAAAAAAGGTCATTCTTACAGGCAATGTAAGATTTAAAGACATTACCAGTAGCACCATTATAAGTTAAAGTTGTGCTCTGTTGTGTACCAGTTGAATCTACAATGGTAACCGGTATTGTACGGGTTGTATTTGTAAATTGCGCTTGGCAATTAGAATCACAGCCGGTGTTATACGAGATTGTTGCATCAGCATTCAAAGTACTGCCAGATGATGCTCTAGATAACGAAAGAATAATGAAAAAACTATTGTGAGACATTTATATATTTAGATATACTTTAATAATGTTCTTCCACTATTTATGATTTGTGCACTATTTACTGTGACTATGTTGTTTGAGCCACTCGGAAATGTGCTTTGAATCTAAGAAATGTATCCAAATTTTTAATTTGACTATAGTCTTCCATAGTATACATACCGCATTTTTAATATTTGTTAATGATGCACTATCTGTTATGTAACCCGCTGCTAAACTGGAAAGGCCAAGATTGTATATTAGCATCCATCTTTTAGTTTGTCCTTTAATACAAAAAATTAAATATTCCTTCTTATGTAGAGATCAGAGCTGATCACCGCGCAGGGGCAAAATAAAATTTACCTGCGTTGCAAGTTAGCAAAACAAGCTTTTGTTCTGCACAGGCAGAGATTGAGGGTGAATACTTCGGCACTGCCCTGCATGTCGACCCTAAGGCAAGGCATTACAATGTTTTTTCCTATTGACCACTATCAGTCTGTATTACACACTGGTAATTATAGACTGTATTATCAGTTAAGATTCACTATTCTTGTTCTATATTTTTCTTTCTGTTAGCGTTATAGTCTTTTGTCATCTTCTATATACTACACAGTGGGCAACCATGTGGACATTAGGTGGAAAAACGAAAGTGAGATTTTTCGAGATTTGAATAGCAGAGCATATACTTCATCATATGAACTATAACGTAGCCATTGCAAGTTTGTTTAGGTGTCAGTTTTAGCGGAAAAATCGACGATGAATTGTTTTTAAGAAAACAGAGCAGCTAAGATAGAAAATCATTTTGTGACGAAACAATATGCGATATTTATTAAAATTTTACATAGTCTAAACTAGGCATTTCGCTCGACCCATTCGTAAAAAAAATTTCTTCCGAAGCTTCAAATTCAAAGACATTTTTACCGAAGATAGACCTACCAACGATACATATATACTGATAGCGATTATAGGTTTTCGTCGTTGAGCGTTACTTTGAGACCAAACGAAGCTCTCGAGTATCTTTCTGCATCTACGACTAGTCGGATTTTTGTGGCACCATCTCACAAACAGAGATAGATGAAGCAAAAGCCTTTTCTTTATCGGATTTTGACAAAAGCTTGTCTGAAATCGGCTTTGGAGTTACTGAGATAAATTTCTGCCGATGGAGGAGACACGGACTTCCCGTCAAAATATTTGAAAATACATAAAACTCAAATAAAATAATAGATTGTTGGTATATCGGAAAATTATTTTAGACTACTAATATAACCCTACCCGATCCAAAAAATCTAGGATTTAATAGGATTTTGTTAAGATCTTAGTGAGATCTTATTAAGAATAGGTTATACTTCATCTAAGTTTTTTTCAAGACTGTATGCGAATCTATTCGTGTCTTAACAGTAACAATTATACATTTTTTAATAACATTAATTAATCATTCACTAACAGTTAGAGATGGGCTGTAACGAAGTTGAATAGAATGAATACGTTTAATGTGCAGTATACGCAGCAACAGAAGCATAAATATTCTCATTTTCCTTCTTTTCATTCTATTATTATGTCCCATTACGAATAATCGACTATTCATATAACTTAGTTCCGTTTGTTCTCATTCGGAAAAGACAAACGATATTATCACTGATTTATGAGTGAGTATAGACGCAAGTATTTCGGAACTTTAATTTATCACTGAAAATAAGACAAATATGAGTCAGTACAACTTTTTTGTACCGTTGATAAAAATAAATGAAAGTGATTATACAAAAAATCTAAGTAGTGGATCTGGTTCTCCATCGTTTACTGAGTCTACACTGAAAGTTTCCGGACTATCGGGCGAATGCCAGCTGAGATATCGAATTTCAAAGTTTCGTGCGTATAACCTGAAACTCTTGAAAAATCATATGAGATCTTTTTTTCATAAAAGTATCATTATTATACATCATTCGATAGCTCTGGATGCGCTGGACTCAGTATTCTTCTTCTACTCGGAGGTCACTGAGAAAAAAATTTAGTTAGATCGGCCCACGGAATCGAAAGTTATGAGCATAAGACTGGAAAAATCCAACGATACAAAATAGTTGCACTTGACTCATATGTGATATAGCTGCTTTCGACTAAACGTAATAATGAGCTTCTTACATAAGAAACGTAAGAATACTGTTAGTAACAGTGTTTTAATACCTAGCCTATATTGTTGTGGCAGAAGTTGAACAGATGTAAAGAATAAACAGAAATTTCATATTTCGGAACTCCGATTCTTAACGTTGACTTGCACTGTACATTTCATGAAACGTTGTTGGATCAAAACAACACTTCACTACACTACAAGGAATTGTCCACTATACCCCCCGTGACAATCACACGGCTACCACCGTAGTGGAAAAGTGTAGTATAGAGCTGTGTTTTCCCCCTTGTGTTGGATACTTTCGGGAGAGTAAATAAAAGAGTCTGAAAGAAAAATAACAACGTAAAAGTCAGTCATGTTTACGCTGTTGCACATGTAGATGCATGGGAGCAAAGCAACAGGGCGAAGGGAATCGAGCCGTGAAATCCTATTCAGATCTTAATTAAGATGTTGGACTATCTTATCAAGATCTTAGACTGTGAAATTTTACAACGATAATGATAAGAAGTATCTAAGATTCTTACTAGGAGTAAGTTATTATTTATGGTGCACTAAGCGTCCTTTATGTCCATAGAGGATAGAAAAGGATATGTCTCACAGTCGGCAATGTTGGCTAGCCTCGTGGACATGTGTATAAAAGCACACCTTCTCACGTGTGCTGATTTTATGATAGTAAAAAAACTTTAAGAGGTCAGCTCTCTGTTTTTGGGAAAGCCAACTTGCTGAAAAACTCGATTATACTAACACTCGAAAATTGTAAACGAGGTTTTGGGAGTCTGGTCTTTTTAATGTCGTGATCCAATGGGAAAATGTTTTTAGCCTGATCGATGTAGTTTTGTGTGCTGATTCTGAAGTTGTCATTACTTTTTAATAGAAATGCTCTTCAGCCATGAAAATCAGATTTTACTCAAAAACCTTAGTTTTTTTTGGAAAACCCATACCAAACGCCAGGAGAAAGCCGTATAAAATCGCATACACGATTTAGCACACAACCACGAACATTTTGTTGTAACTTTGAAGTAGATTCGACCTTGGATGACTTTGGATACCTCATTACACTTTAGGTGCGCATCCGAAAAAATAGTTAGTCCGGTAACTAATTTCTTTTTCCCCTAGATCGTAGAATCAAAGTGGAAAAGCTTTCACCGATCGAGAGTTAAAACAGTCTAAGTTCACAATATATAACATTTACAAAGTTAAATTAGCTCAATCCAATAAAAGAATTTTTTTCTCTGTACACTCTTAAAAATAGTTGTAGATTAATAAACTTCAAAAAGAGTTTATTTAGACCAATAAACCTTTCAAAAAACGCTTTTCCGTTTTTTATTTCCAAAAAACTAAAAAGCGTTCGTGACAGATGTAAAATAAAAAACGGGCGGTTTCTTATCAAAAATAAAAACCAGTTTTTTTTTATTTATTTAAGCTTTTTATTGAAAAAGAAAAAAAAACGATTGCGCAAGCGGCTTTCGCCATATGTGCACCTTGAAATGTATAAAGAAGAACGTATAATGAGCTTAAAAGTAGAAAGGAAGAAAAAGGGAAAGAAAAGCTCACGTAAGAGATGGTCATTCGGGTTTTTGGATATTCACTTCTACTGTTCTACTTGTACACTCTTAAAAATAGTCGTAGAGTAATAAACTATCAAAAAGGGTTTATTGAGATCAATAAAACGCTTTTCCGTTTTATATTTCCAAAAAACTAAAAAGCGTTCGTGACAGATGCAAAATGAAAAACGGGCTGATTTTTATCAAAAATAAAAAACCTTTTTCAGTTTTTTGTCGAGTCTAAAATACCGGCTAAAAAGTTCTTCAGTTTTTTGTAAACTCTAAAAAACTAGCTAAAAAACTTAGCTGGTACTTTAAACTCTTTTTGATAGTTTTTTAATCTACGACATTTTTTTAGAGTGTAGTCACTAGCATTTAGGCTATTTGTTTGGTCATATATTTTTTCCGAAGTTTGAGCACTTGGAGCGATAATATTTACATCATTAGATAGCTCGTAAATTGGAGTATATTTCACACTATTTGAATCTTGGAAAAGCGCATTTTCTATTTTTCACCTAATGTTCATGTGATTGCCCGCTGTGCGTAGGTCAGTTTTTGTGCAAATTCATAACACATTTGTGTGAACGTCTGGATTCATATGGTGGATTTCTCAAGAGTGATTTTCTAACAATTTATGTAATCAAGCATTATTAAGTCACCCGCTGTCCTGTCAGAAATGGATAGCACATCAGTAGGTAGGGAATAGTTGCTTAAGAGATGAGATGATGGTCAAAGTAATTCACCATCTTTCGTATATATCAGTGAATAAATATTTTTGTCCTATATTTCAGCACATGATGACTGAAGCATCGCATAACGGAAATGAATCATGACAATTTTCTACCCTTTGATTTATTCCGACAAACGCGTTCTGTGAAACCAGCCATTTATATCTTCAATGAAATGAAAGGAAATTGTCATATATAACTCGAAAAGACAAAGCAAACAAACTAACAGTTTTTTGGTACGAGTAACTTCTGATAGATAGGGTAATACTCTCTCTTAGAATATTTAAATAGATAGAAGATGTCCCCACCTGCTTCAAATACTTGTGGCACCGTCTATCGTTACTGGGTGTGTAAGTGTTCTCTGGAAGTTCTGCTGTTGGGTGGTGTTCTCTGACGATTGTCTTAGATTTCGGAAAATGATGTTTTAAAATTAAAAGTGGTAATTACATGTTTTATCGAAAAACCACAAGAATATTTACTTTATTTATTTTTATCCGACGACTCTTTTTTCCTCCTCTTTTTGCTCTGCAGTTATTTTCGTTTTTTGAAATTAACAAGCTAACACTCGTCTCGGTCCCTTCACTTTAAGAACTTATATTTACGAAAGACCTTCCATGACTTTGAATCGAACAACGGTCACACCTCCCTTCGATCGGTGTTCGCTTGTGGACCATCTACAATATGTTATGAATATCTCTCTGATTTGATGTGTAAGCTTGGTAATCTAATATAAATCTAAAAAGTTTTCTCGAAACCCTTCAAAAGTTCCCATAGGTCTAAAACTACTTGTAAACACCAGACAATGCTCACGCGTCCCTTCGGTCGGCATTCGCAGTAAATATTATTTCAGCCATCTTTTGGAATACTTTCTCTCTAGTGTGAAAAATAAGTTTCTACTTTCTCTCTTGTGATTGGCTTATCCACGAAATATCTGCCAGCCATTTTTCGGTATTTTGCGCACAGACACATACACACCGACAACTATTTTGTAAGACTGAAGTCAAGCAAAAAATCAGAGTAAAAGTCCCGCTAAAATACTGAAAGCAGTAATCGATATTTTTGACTTTGCT